GCATGCCTGTAATCCCAGCTACTCAGGAGGCTGAGGCAGGGGAATCGCTTGAACCCGGGAGTCGGAGGTTGTGGTGAGCTGAGATTGCATCACTGCACTCCAGCCTGGGCAACAAGAGTGAAACTCCATCTTAAAAAATAAAAATAAAAATATACTGACCCCAGTGCATTTGTTTCCAGATGTACAGGGATAACAACTGAATCCATATATACCCATATTTGAGGAAAAGAACCAGAAAGTATCTCACATACTCATTAAAATCTATCCAACTTATCAACTGGAGATTAATTTACAATTTTCTCTTGAGAGATTACCACCACGATGATAGTCAATTATCCCAGCCTTATTGTTAACTATTCTAATACAGTCAAAACTTAGAATTAGGCTGGACACGGTGGCTCATGCCTGTAATCCCAGCACTTTGGGAGGCCGAGGTGGGTGGCTCACTTCAGGCCAGGAGTTCAAGCTTGGGTAACATGGTGAAACCCCGCCTCTACAAGAATACAAAAATTAGTCAGCAGTGGTAGTGCGTGCCTGTAATCCCACCTACTGGGAGGCTGAGCTGGGAGGATGACCTGAGCCCAGGAAGCGGTTGTAGTGAGCCTAGATCACACCATTGCACTCCTGCCTGGGGGACAAAGTAAGACTCCGCCTAAAAAAACGAAAACAAACAAAAAAACAGTATTTGCTTCCTTATATGAGAAGGTGACGGGGGACACCCCAATGACAATCTCTGACCTTCAAAACTGGACACATTCATTATTCATCCACTATTTTGGGGGCATCTAACATAAGCCAGACACTGCTAGGTGCATGAAATACAAATATCTTCAAGATGCTTTCCAGCTGAATAGAACACATGAGACTTAGATAACCCTAAAGTGGACTAAAACCTTCAGAGACAAAAGATGATTGGAAATAATTTTGCCTGATCTCTAGTTCTGTAAACTGCAATTATTAGCAATTCTCCCTCATTGAGGGGTCACGGGCTACTGCATCAATGGAGATAACGTCCTCCACAAATGGAGTGTCTAGGTTGCCCAGGGACTGAAAACTGGGCATCAGTCTCCCCAAATCAGATGTATTCTAATCTGATCCTACTCCTTCTCTGCCAAGAAAAAGAAAAAGAATGAAAGATGAGTAGGTCAGGCATTTTCCTAACATTTCCCTGAAAGAAAACCTTTTTCATAAAAGTTCAGACTTCCTAAATATATGCCTTGTCTATAAACTAGACAAGCAACTTCACCAAAAGAATGAAGCGAACATTTATAAAGGTAGTGCCCAAAGACAGCAAACGAGGTAAAAATAGCAGAACAGGAATACGTTTGAAACAAAAATGAAAAATACTTTGGAGTACACCCTTAAGTTTTTTTCCCTAGGTGTAAAGGAAGTATATGTGTATACTCAGGCAATATGGTTTTATAAAAATGAGGTAACACCCTACATACTACTATGGACTCTGCTTGAACTGCATAAAATAACAGAACTCTTTCTGTATCACTACATATGAATGCATTACACATTTTGGTGTCCCTATCATTTATAAAAACTACATAAAATGCATGATTTTAGTGAAAATTTTCTAGTTGTGTGTTTTATTTCATAATGGAAATCTAAGAGTAAAACCAAAATTATCTATATATCAAATATAGAATTATATAACACAGGGAAGATGGAGAAAAAAAGAAAATGTAGAATTAGCTGCATTCTATTAAACCAAGATTATCTATAAACATATAACAATATTAAACCAACCTGCCCAAATCTGGCATTTGCAGTAAAACAATTACTAAAAGACATTATATTACTATAATAATAATATGGCAGTGAATTAATATTTCAGCAGGTATGCTGAACAGTTACTGAACAAGTATAATGTGTGGAATGTGAAGGAAAACATGAGTGAACAGTCTCAAATCAGTGACAAAAAAAGGAAATGGATCACAATTATTTTCATCTCCTAGCACAATTACAAGCCAATAAAATATGAGAATTCAAAAGGCAAAATCATGGGTGGAAAAAAATCATGGATGAAAAAAAATAATGGGCGAGGATTGTTATTCCACAATCCTCAAAGCACTCACTAAACAGCTATGAAAGCAGAAACAAATTAACCCAGGAAAGAGGGTACTTGGAGCCACTCAAGTACTGCATTTACAAAAAGTAATCCAACAGAACCGGAACTTTACAAAGGGATGGAAAGAAATGCCATCCTCTCAGGGCCCGAAACAATGGGGGTACAGTTTACAGTCAAATTAAGCTGATTTGGTCCATAATAAATTAAAGAATCAGAGACAAGTAATCTTTACATCCTTTTACCTATGTGAGTTAAGCAAAAACTCATCAACCTAGCACTATTCAATCTGCTTGGCTAGTCTTTTATCTATTCTACATTCTCAAAGTAATCTGCATTTGTCATTTACATCCATTAAAATTTCCAGTGGTTGCCCATTTCCTATAAATAAATATATATAGACATATACGTATTTCTTGTTCACTGTTGCATTGCTGAAGCTAAAAGAGTACGCTGCAGGGGTTCAATTAGCATTTCAGGAATAAATGAGATGAATTTGGCTTCAACTGCTTTCCAGCCATGCTGGGTTTACTTGAATTCACCTGTAGGCCTTTGCACATGCTGAATTACAGTACATTAGTTTCTTTACCATGACTTCCAAACCTGGATATGCAGAGTCCCCCAATCTTCCAATTCTATCCCCTCTCTCATACTAGCCCAGCCTCAGTAACTTCATTTTTCTTTGTATATGCCATGTATATCAGAGCCGTTCCACTTACTGTTTCTTCCACCAAAATTCCTTTCAAGAGAGTCACACACTTACACCCCTTACTTCTCTTGGGCCTTTATTCAAAAGTCAATCAGTGGCCGGGCTTTGGGAGTCCAAGGCAGGCAGATAACCTGAGGTCAGGAGTTCAAGACCAGCCTGGCCAACATGGTAAAACCCCATCTCTACTCAAGAATAATTACTTAAACATTTTTATGTTCCTCATGCAACTAGTTCAAAAACCCCACAGTGGTAAAAAGATAATAAAAGAATCGTGAAAGTGTGGTGAAAGGGATTGCTAGATTTTCACCTAAGTGACTTAGGCCAGTATTACTACAAAAGAAAAGTGTAACCGGAGTTAGAAAATATCATTACCTGAATGAGAACATTTTATCAGCCATTCTTTTAAAAAGATATTCATAAGACATACACATCTGCAAGTAAAGCATGTAGGTACTCAAATATTTGCTGAATGCATGATTAAAATTTTTAAGTTAATCTTAGAGTCTAAAAACTTTTCTCAGGCTAACAATCAAAATTTAGGTTCAAAATTTCGAAAACAAAAGTCTTGTGTCCTCTGCCTTTATGAACTTGATTTGCTAAGAGTAAATCTGCCATGCATCCTGATCTTGTGTTTGGCAGCAAGAGCTAAAAGAAAACTCAGGGACAAAAGTACCGCTTCATTGTCTTCCCTGTAGTACAATAACAAACATATAAAGGATTAGGTACATAAATAATCATATCTTGATTACCATAAAAAGTTCAAAATAGACCAAATAAAATTACTTTAAAAACATGAACTACAACAATATCCACTTTCCATCAACAGAGGTTTCTACACATAAGCATTATGTGCCTAAAGCATCCCTGGCATAAAGCTTTATCCAGGTTTTGAACACAATCACAAACATTAAAAGACATGACAGGAATGTTATTGACAAAATATCTTCATTAGGGCTATATTCCGTTACAACAAATATAAAAAGCGAACATATTTTCACATTCCTAGCAATGGTCTGCTTATAGATCCAATAATCCAAAAAATAAAATCAGCCACCTCCCTCAGTAGTCCGTTGGCTTCTCAGAGTTTTATCTGATCAGAAGTGGAAGGACCCTCTTTTTTATCGTCTACCAAAATGTAATAACATTCTTGATTAAACACACACTTAAATCTATTTAAATGTCTTCCTAAATTGCTAACTGTCCAAACCTACGTTTAAATCATAAAAACTTCATCAAAACATAAAAATCTAAGAAACTACACAGTAAAATGGTTAGCAAATAGGTACACTTTAAATGTTTGCAGTAGACTTGAGAACATTCCCATCTGGCTGAATGTCTCGTAGTAACGTGACTCTTTATCAACAGTGAGCACATGAGTCTTCTTTGGCACCCAGGTCTACACTACTTCAAGGTATGACCACACTTCAAAGAGTCATGATGGAAAAGACTAGATTACGAAACCATAAACAGTAAACACAGCACATCCACCAGGCGGTGGAAGAAACTATAGAGATATTCCATTCAGAGGCTGCCATTTCTACTGTTGGTTACTGTATTTTTGTTTCTACCAAGGAAGCTGTAAAATCCGCGTGCACGCCCATCCCAAATCTATCCGTGGGGCGGGCGCAGGCTGAGTCATTCCTAGGAGTAACTTTATACCGATCCTCGCACTCTGGGGTCGGGACAAAGACATCATCTCTCCGTTCCTCCCACTCGGTGAGCTTCGTTCGGCCTCGGCCAAACTCCACTCTCCCGTTTCTCGAGTCCAACACAGAATTAAGGGCTGATCCCTGGCAGCGATGAGCACAAGTCAGGATGTGTCTCGGGAGGTTCGGACGTCCCTCGCCCTTGGCCACTCCGGCAACTAGGCCGGGTGCTGACCCGCAGCGCAGAGAGAGGGATCCCAAGGCTCCGTCCGAGAAAGCCGCTGGCAGCCCCGCAACGAGAGAGCCCGACCCACACCCCCCGCAGCCTGGTGGAGCATCGATTCGAACCGCTTTTGTCTCCAAAGGGGCTCTTGCGCCGGGAAGGCGGCCAGTGGGCAACACCTGCCGGGGCAGGAGGCGCCGGGGCCCTCGAGTGCACACACCTGCGCGTGGGCCGGGCTCGGGCCGGCCGGAAGCCGGGACCCCGCGACCCCGGCCCACCGTGCCAGGGCCCGCCGCGCGACCGCTGTGCCAGATGGGGGAAGGGGACGCGGGCGGCGGCGACACTTACCCGGCAGCGCCTCCTCCTTCGCCGGCGGCAGCAACAGAGCCAGCGACCCCCGGCACCATCTTCCGCCGCCGCCTAGTCCTCGGCGGCGGCTACCAACCGCCCATTCGGCACCGCTAAGCCGACACAACCGCCGGCGTCCCGGGCGCCCGCCCGCCGCGGCCCCGAACTCTAGGCAGGAGGGAGGGGTCCGGGCGGAGAAGGACGCGGGCAGGCCCCTCGGCTCTGGGTCTGGGGCCGGGGGACAGAGGGCCACGGCCTGTCAGAGCCGAGGGGCCCAGGCGACTGGGGGACCCTGAGGCAACGCCGAGGGCTCGGCAGGGCCGCGGACACCGCCGCGGCTTGGTTTGTTATTGTCGACTCCGTCTCTTCCTCCGCGGAGCATGCCGGGAAACGGCCTGCCGGGGGAGGGGCGCGCCTGGAGGCGCAGATAGGCGTCTACGCAGGTCCGGAAGTCGGCAGCCTGCCGGGAAGGGGGCGGCCCCGCCTCCGGCTCTCGGGCGGCGGGGCTTGTTGGCTGTCCTGGGCTGACCCTGGGAGACGCCGCTGGGGCTGCCTGTTATGGTGCTAGCTGCCGTCCCGGCGCGTACTTTCCCAAGGTGAGTTTGACCTTCTTTGCGACAGCGAGTAGGCCCTGACTAAGGCCGACCCACCAAACTTTGGATCGTCCCCAGGCGAAAGAGAGGTTGTCTCCTTCAGCCTGTCGCGGAGGAGCGGAGCCAGTCGAGGGCCTGGTGTCGCCGTCGCCTCTCCAGGGGCAACCTGCGGACTAGGCCAACGTCTGTAACGGGATAACGTACCAGCGCCTGGCCCAGGCGTTCCTGCCGCCACCTCCCCGCGTATCCGGACCGCCGGGACTGCACGCATCTGGCAAGCGTCCCCGTGTTAACTCTGCAAGGGTTAGGCGGCACATTTTTTTCTCAGACCAGGTAAGGCAAGAAAACATCCAAGAGAGAAGAGAGCGAAGGCTAGGCCGATCGGAATGAAAATGTAAACGCCACAACCACGTTTTCAGCTTTACAAATACTGAATCTTGTAGTGGGTCTAGTGGGTTAGCTGTTAGTATGAGCACCCTAATGGGTGGGAGACAGTTTCAGGGGACTCTTGCATTTGTAAAGATGATCAGTCACAGGCAATGACTTGAAGCCACAAGGCTTGCATATTAAAATCTGATGAGCAGATGTTGCAGGTAGAATAATTACATAATAGTTTTCAAATTCCTGCTATATCCAGGAATATCTGGAATGAGTAAAAACTTGGATATGCCTTCTCTAAAGTTATCAGGGCCTCTGAGTTGTGTTTGTAAAAATAAGAGGCACAAGAAGGCACCAAACTGAACAAAATGTTAGGTGGAAACTGTAAAACGTTGGTTAGCATGAACAATTTCAGTTTTCAATCACCCTGACCAGTGTCTGGAAGTTAGGATTGAGATGGGCTTGTTTTATTTATTTACTTTTATATTTGTGCTGCTACATATCCCAAACAAATCTGGTCCTTATCATCACTGGCAAGCCATTTTACTTACTCGGTTAAGCTGGAATTTTATTACACCACCCCAGCAAGATAGAGCAGAAAAGCGAAAATTAAGCAGTAAATGGTTATTATGCCTTAGGGGAAGGTGTGAACTGGCAAGACAAGAGCCGAATTTAGTAGTACAGCATAGTAATCAGCATACATAAAATAAGTGGTGAGGAGGAGTTTGGCCAGAAATTGGCTAAGAAAAACAGCAGTATGACCAAGAATGAAAACAAAAAGAAAAGAAAAACAACAGTATGAGGCCTGTAAAGAACATATTGGTACTTGCACTTCCTCTTATTAGTGACACTCATTATTACAAATATAACCCAATTTAGAATGTAAAAATCTTGCTGGAGCTCGGTGCAGTGGCTCACACCTGTAATCCTAGAACTTTGGGAGGCCGAGGCAGGAGGATTGCTTGAGCCCAGGAGTTCGAGACCAGCCTGGGAAACGTCGTGAAACCCCCTTCTGTATTAAAAAAATACAAAAATTAGCTGGGCGTGGTGGTGCGCACCTGTAGTCCTAGTTACTCAGAAAGCTGAGGTGGGAGGACCAGTTGAGCCCAGGAGGTCGAGGCTGCAGTGAACCATCATGGCACCACCGCACTCCTAGCCTGGGCAACAGAGTGTTGCCCTGTCTCAAAAAAATAAAAAATAAAAAAAATTACTGAAATATGCCAGTGATAATCTGGTAAATAATAAATGTTGTCTGACTTTTTTCTTTGGAAAATGAATTAATTCAGTCCTAACCTTCCCTCTTAATCCCAATAAATTACCAGAAATGACTGGTTCATACCTTATACACCTCCAGTGTAAATGTTAAGAGTTTGTATGCATCAGTAATTCTTTCCTAGGGATAAGTGAAAATGTACTAACATTAATTCTATTATATATGTGCAAATATCTAGAGGAAATACTGTTTATAAGTTACTAATACATGTATCCATGGTAATAAGTAGTGACAAGTTACTTTCCTTGCCTATTAGACACACTCTATTCTCCCTTCCTTAATTTAGAGAGGAAAAAAAAGAACAAACAAAATTCTGTAGCATCACTTCTCAACCAAGCTTTCTGATAGGAAGTCCAATCTCATTTTTGGCCTACTGTGCATTTCTTACTTAACTTGCAAACATATCATTAACAAGGACCTCCAAATTACAGTAAATTACAGTACTGAGATTTTATTTGAACTTTCTAAAGCATTTGCCATTTTAAATTATTGAACTTTATACTCCTTCCCTTTTGTGCTGTCTCCTTCCTGGCGCCCCTAAATATCTGTCCATTCTTTGGATCTCTTCCAAATTTTCAAGTAATTATAATGGTGTGCGAATGATGCAAAGATAATGTGCTGTGGGAGAACAGAAGAGAGAAACCTAATTCTGGCTTCATCACATTATTTTTTTTTAAATTTAATAACTATTTTAGATGCTTCAGTAGATTTACAGTGAGGGCAAAAGAAAATGGTTTTCTTTAGGAGTATGGAGGGATTATACAGGATGTACAATAAATACCCTAAGTACTTCAAATTAGTTCAGATCTTTAAAATCTTATTTTTCCTTCAGTTCTCAACTTCAATATCACCTACTCTGGGAGTCATTCCTCACCATGCTTGTCTGTTTGTTTGTTTATTTTGAGACAGAGTCTCACTCTGTTGTCCAAGCTGGAGTGCAGTGACACGATTTCTACTCACTGCACCCTCCACCTCCCAGGTTCAAACTATTCTCTTGTCTCAGCCTCCCTAGTAGCTGGGATTACAGGCATTCGCCACCTCTCCTGGCTACTTTTTGTACTTTTAGTAGATGGGGTTTCACCATGTTGACCAGGCTGGTCTCAAACTCCTGATCTCAAGGGATCCATCTGCCTCAGCCTTCCCCAAAGTGCTGGGATTACAGGAGTGAGCCACAGCACCTGGCCACATGCTTGTAATTTCTTTAGATTCTCACATTGTATCTTTCAGTATCATCTAACCTGCTGACTATAAGGTCCTTTTTAAAAGATGTACTATACCTGGTATACAATGGTATGCACTGAACAAACATTTGACAGTACCCCACAACTTGTTCAGGCCCTCAATTTATACCTTAATTGACCTCCTATCAGTGTCCATTATTTACTCCATCCAGGACCAGTCTAATCACTTCTCTTCCCTGCCTAACAACTTTCATTGGTCTTGTTTTATATACTAGATACAATTTAAACTTTTTTTTTTTTTTCTGACGGAATCTGGCTCTGTCACGGAGGCTGGAGTACAGTGGTGCGATCTCGGCTCGCTGCAAGCTCCATCTCCCAGGTTGACGCCACTCTCCTGCCTCAGCCTCCCAAGTAGCTGGGACTACAGGCACCTGCCACCACACCTGGCTAATTTTTTGTATTTTTAGGAGAGATGGGGTTTCACCGTGTTAGGCAGGATAGTCTCAATCTCCTGACCTTGTGATACACCCGTCTCGGCCTGCCAAAGTGCTGGGATTACAGGTGTGAGCCACCATGCCCGACCCTGGGCATGGGTAAACAACTTAACCTAGCATGAAAGTCTCTCCATGATGAGGTACCAACCCATCTCTCCAGCGTATCTCCCAGCACTTTTCTCCCCTGTATACGTGCTCTATATGAGTTTCCTCATCCAGGAATGTTCTTCCCCACTTGTTCACCTTTCAAAGTCATCCCTTGAAATACAGTTTGAGACTGGGCGCAGTGGCTCACGCCTGTAATCCCAGCACTTTGGGAGGCCAAGGCGGGCAGATCACCTGAGGTCGGGAGTTCGAGACCAGCCTGACCAACATGGAGAAACCCTGTCTCTACTAAAAATACAAAATTAGCCAGGCATGGTGGTGCATGCCTGTAATCCCAGCTACTTGGGAGGCTGAGGCAGGAGAATCGCTTGAACCCAGGAGGCGGAGGTTGCAGTGAGCTGAGATCGCGCCATTGCACTCCAGCCTGGGCAAAAAGAGCGAAACTCCGTCTCAAAAAAAAAAAAAAAAATACAGCTTGGATGTTAGCAGTTTCTAACTTCTAGAGTCTCCACCCTTCTATTAGCTTTGCTCTGTATCTCACAACTATAAATTTTTTTTCTCCCCTCTTAGTCTGTGAAACTCTTAAGATTAAGAACTATGCATTATTAATTTTTAAATTGCTGGAACTTTATGGAGAGCTTGGCAGTCAGGAATTATTTATATTGATGGTTGACTAGAAAGTTACTGCAGAAAATTCCTGCCGTCAGATATCTCATAGGCTTGTAAAGGGGACCATTCAAAACAATTGCAGTAGCAAAGGAAGGGTGCAGTGGCTCACGCCTGTAATCCCAGCTGAGGTGGGCGGATTGCTTGAGCTCAGGAGTTTGAGAACAACCTGGACAACATGATGGAACCCTGTCTCTACTAAAAATACAAAACTTAGGCAGGCATGGTGGCACCCACCGGTAGTCCCAGCTACTCAGGAGGCTGAGATGGGAGGATCGATTGAACCTGGATACAGAGGTTGCCATGAGCCAAGATCATGCCACTGCACTCCAACCTGGTAGACAGAATGAGACTCTATCTCCAAAAAATAAAAAATAAAAATAATAATAATAATAATAATTGCAGGCTGGGTGCGTGGCTCACGCCTCACGCCTGTAATCCCAACACTTTGGGAGGCTGAGGCGGGTAGATCACCTGAGGTCAGGAGTTCGAGACCAGCCTGAACAACATGGAGAAACCCCATCTCTACTAAAAATACAAAATTAGCTAGTGGCGCATGCCTGTAATTCCAGCTACTCGGTAGGCTGAGACAGGAGAATCACTTGAACCCGGGAGGTGGAGGCTGCAGTGAGCCGAGATCGCACCATTGCATTCCAGCCTGGGCAACAAGAGCGAAACTCCATCTCAAATAAATAAATAAATAAATATAATTGCAGTAACAAATTTATATGATATTAATTATTTACCAAAGTACATTCAGTTTATTGGGAAGATCATTGTACACATCTTAATTTTGTCAACTCTGCTGGAGGCATTCAGCACATGTATTAAATATTTCTCAAACAACTTAGTGTCATTACCCTAATTTTCTTTTAGGTGATATTCAAACAACCAGCAACCACAATTCAGATAATTTGGCTTTATTTAAAGTATGAGTCACAATTATTGTTCATTTTTAAAAAGGTTAAAAAGATGTACTATTTTGGACTTTGTTTTTAAAACCGTAACTAATTTGGTGTATATGATTTTGTACTATTTAGAGGCTGCTGGCACTATGATAATTAAGTTCATGTTTTCAGTACTGTTTACAGACCTGAAAGCTGCCCTCCTCATCTGGTCTGTGGGTACTCACACATATTACTGGTAATAATGGTGATGGCTAACTTAGGAATGAACATCTTCAAAACTAGTGATGACTTGATGAGCTCATAAGCAACACTGTTTCCAGTGCTGCAGCAACATAGTCAAGAAAACACTTCTAGAATGCTGAATTTCCTGAAAGATTTAAACCAATAGATTAAGACAAAACATTTGTAGTCATTTTTCAGACTGAAAGAGATGATACTGTTTTGTGTCATATTTTATTAGGTTCTTGTCTTTCATTATTTTGAAGAGCTGCCTAGCACAATGTCCAAAAATAGAGCTGGCACTGTTTATAAAATGCCTTAAGTCAGAAATTAATCAGTCATGTAGACACAGATACAGAACTGATTCAAATGTCAAGTAGTGGTTAGACTTCAGGTGGTGACTTTCTAACTTTTACTGTGATCCACATTAAGAAATACAGGTTCACATTGTGACCTGGTATACACATACAGGAAAAAGTACTTGCTGCTTGTGATATACTCTGATACCTTCTACTCTTTTTTATTCCTCTTGCTAGTCTTATACACTAAATTGATTTTACTATCATCTAATGGTTTCAGAGACATTAGATTCAATGATTTAGGCCCCAAACCTTGAAATTCTTTGTTCCTGACTTTTCTGTATGCTTTCCTATTTCTGCCAGTGCCTCAATAGTGTTTATAAAAATAAATGTTTTGTTTGTTTGTTTGTTTTTGTTTTTTTGAGATGGAGTTTCAGTCTTGTTGCCCAGGCTGGGGTGCAATGGCGTGATCTCAGCTCACTGCAACCTCCGCCTCCTGGGTCCAAGTGATTTTCCCGCACCATCCTGTAGCTGGGATTACAGGCATACGCCACCATGCCCAGCTAATTTTGTATTTTTAGTAGAGATGGGGTTTCTCCATGTTGGTTAGGCTGGTCTCGAACTCCCGATCTCAGGTGATCTGCCCGCCTTGGCCTCCCAAAGTGCTGGGATTACAGGCGTAAGCCACCGTGCCTGGCCAATAAATGTAGTTTTTAAAAAGTATGACCTAACTGAAGTTCATGAAACACTTATCTTAGATGCCAGACATGAGTTTTACATTTATCAACCTGTTTAGTTGTCTTAACAGCCCTGTGCAGTTT